GTTATGCCTGCAATATAACGAAATTTCTAGCAGTTCAGACTTACAATCTGACCTAAATGCTTTTCAAACATGGTGTTGTGAAAATCTTTTGGATTTAAATAGCGCTAAGTGCAAAGTAATGACATTTTTTCGGGTGAACCCACAATATGCAACGTATACGCTGGGTGGTTGCGCGTTGTCTAGAATTACGCATGTTGATGACCTTGGCGTCCTTCTTGACCCAAAACTTAAGTTTTGTGACCATATTACTTCTATGGTGAATAAAGCCAGGGGAGTACTTGGATTTATTAAAAGGTGGTCAAAGGAATTCGATGATCCCTATGTTACAAAGACTCTGTTCATTTCACTAGTCCGTCCAATCCTGGAGTACTGTTCAGCAGTTTGGAGTCCTCAGTATGGTGTACATATAGACCGGATAGAGTCTGTGCAAAAGAACTTTTTATTATTTGCTCTACGGGGCCTTAACTGGAATGCAAGCCTTATTTTACCATCCTACTCTAGTAGACTTCTCCTAATTAATCTACCATCCTTAGTAAACCGTAGAACGATGCTTGGCACAACTTTTATCTATAAACTTATTCACGGGGATGTGGAGAGTCCCGAGTTACTGGGTCGCATAAGCTTCTCCGTGCCTAATAGAATTACCAGGAACTATGTTCCTCTTACATTAAATATTTGTAGATCTAACTTTGATATGCATGAACCGTTTAGAGTACTGTGTAACGACTATAATAGACTATACCACATTATTTCTACTACCGACTCTTTGCCAAGCCTAAAAGCATTAATTTTATCTTACTTAGCACAAAATTAGTATTAGTATTAGTCTCGTACGTATTTCTAATCTTAGTCTGTCCGCTTCTACATTGTGCTTTTTAACTTCTCGCGATCTCGTTTTTACGCCTATTAGGCTCCGCGCGTAACAAGCACTGCTTGGTGTCGTAAGGGCCACTTGTTTGCGCTGATCATAGTGCATCAACGTCCGAATTATAATGATCAATTTTATGGCCAAAATTGTTTTAGTTTTTGAGTTTTATGAGTTTGATGGAATTTTTTCTTTTTGCTTTTGTTGCACTTATTATCATCCACTTTTATAGGCATAGAGCAAATTTCAGCTCCTTAAATTTGATTAATTTATTTTTAGTTTTAACCGATCGTTCCTATGGGAGCTATAGGATCCGAACGATTTTCACACTATATGTGCCTAGGGACAAATAATAACGATTGGTAAAGTTTCATGTCGATATCTCCAAAACTGACCGAGTTATTAATAAATGCCACAAAAACAGGTAAAAAACCCCATAGTAACGTGGTACATACGGAGTGTTATTCTTTTAGACATTTTTAAACTTAGCTTGTTATCGCTCGACTGAAAAGTTAATGGACTTCTTTCACCTTCTAGTCCTAATTTGTCAACAATAGCTTCCTCCATCAAGGTAACTGAACTTCCGTCGTTCTATATTACTGGTTTGTCCATATAATACCACTGGAATCACCTTAAACAAGTATGGGCTAGAGCCCATCGTTCTTTGACAATGGTGAGCGGCCGACGACTCTTGAAATTGAACTCAGCCATTCAGAAAATTTGGTAATAGTCGGCCCTTTATCGACTATCCATGTCTATCCATGTAAATGGGCAGTTTTATTAAAAGTTCTTCCAATAAGATCGGATTATTTAAATGTTCCTTGTGGTTGGCCGCTAACAGAAAATTAACCATTCACGAACATTTCTTGCGAAGGTGACAATCTGCTCGGGTTTTTTATATGCAACTTTTCCGAAAGTTTCTTGGCCAAGAAAGAATCAGTAACTCTGGGCGACCGAACCCGAACTCTAATTTTCACATCTCGTACATTATCTGGGTAAATTAGCTGGGATGCTACAGCTTCTTTGGCTTCTCCAACCAGGCATTTTGTTATTTAATTTCACACACTGTTTTGTTTAAACTTTCCTCATCGGACGACATTTTGCGGCTTCTCAAATTATATTGACTCATTAATCTTCTTGAATTGCTTAGCCGTCTTTAGTCACCCAAATAAAATAAGGCTTTAGTCAAAATTAGTCAAAACTGATAACATTTGTCAACTAACTTTTCACAGCGGCGTCTGTCTCACGCATTCGGCTTTTATCGTCGCTCTGACAAATTTCTGCATACTAACGCATCCCTGCAGTTCCGAAATTCATCACCACAAAAATTCATCGGCCTCTCATCAGCAGCCGACTGCGACGCCAGCAGAGCCAAAGACAAGTCGGCAGAGCCGAATGCGACGTATGCAGAGCCGAAGCTCTCAGTCGACGATCGCACTATGGGGCCAACGACCACTTTTGTTGGCCAAAATTAATAACTCGCTCAATTTTAAAGACATCGAAATAAAACCAACCTTTTTTGGTATCCTTAGGCAACGTAACTAATAAAAAGAATGGGATCGAACGTATATATCCCATAGCTGCCATTCGATCGATTTATTCAACTTTGTTGTTTTTTAAGATAGTGACATCATTTTTATACCCTTGCAGAGGGTATTATAATTTTGGTCAAAAGTGTGCAACGCAGTGAAGGAGACATCTCCGACCCTATAAAGTATATATATTCTTGATCAGGATCACCTCCTGAGTTGATATAGCCATGTCCGTCTGTCCGTCTGTCTGTTTCTACGCAAACTAGTCTCTCAGTTTTAAAGCTATCGAATTGAAACTTTGCACACACCCTTCTTTCCTTTGCACGCAGTATATATGTCGGAACGGCCGGGATCGGCCGACTATATCCTATAGCTGCCATATAACTGATTGATCGGAAATGCCATAACTTTGGTGTTTGTAAAGTTAGGAAGTTGGAATTTTTATGGGTTTTATATTTGGCAAATCAATCCGACCCACCAAATTTCATAAGGATCGGCCGACTATATCCTATAGCCGCCATATAACTGATTGATCGGAAATGCCATAACTTTGGTGTTTGTAAAGTTAGGAAGTTAGGATTATCTATGGGTTTTATTTTTGGCCAATCAATCCGACCTGCCAAATTTTATAAGGATCGGCCGACTATATCCTATAGCTGCCATATAACTGAACGATTGGAAATGACATAACTTTGGTGTTTTTAAAGTTAGGAAGTTGGGATTTTTTATGAGTATAAAGAATGCATCATATGAATAACCGATCCGGTTTTGGAGAATATAACTTACAGAATATTCTGCAAGGGTATATCAACTTCGGCTCCGCCCGAAGTTAGCTTTCTTTCTTGTTTTTTTATTATTTACTTCATAAATTCACCTATGTGGTAGCTTGATCATATAATATAATTCAAAATGCAAAAGAAAATGTTCCTCATTCTATAAAGGTGCAATGTGATTTCACAAAAATTCGGCTGAATATATTTTATTGACAGGTATAAAAAGGGCACATGCTATTAAACATTATGCTCTTAGGATTCGAGATCAATAATGCATTGAAAATAAAAAAGGATTCTCATTTTCAACGAAACTACTGTTAAAGTTTATCTACTTAAAAATTAAATTTCGGAAAAAGTGGCAGTAAGTGGCGATTTTAACCATATACATTTTAACAAGAATTTAATAATCTACAAGTCTCAATAGGTTTCAGCAGTCGACTCCGCTGGACTCACTTTGTTGCTCTATAGTTTTCTAATTAAAACAAGAAAGGAAAGCTAACTTTGCGCGTAAGCGAAGTTGATATACCCTTGTAGAATATTCTGTAAATTATATTGGTTGGCCAAAAATAAAACCAATAAAAAAACCCAACTTCCTAACTTTAAAAACACCAAAGTTATGACATTTCCAATCGTTCAGTTATATGGCAGCTATATGATATATATACTACCTGCAATAGAAACACAACTTTTGGGAAAGTTTCAAGCAAATATCTTTAAAACTGAGGGACTAGTTTGCTTAGAAACGGACGGACAGACAGACGGATGGACAGACGGACGGACAGACAGACGGACGGACAGACAGACGGACGGATAGACATGGCTAGATTGACTCTCCCGGTGATGCTGATCAAGAACATATATACTTTATAGGGTCGGAAATGGCTATTTCACTGCGTTGCAAACTTTTGACTGAAATTATAATACCCTCTGCAAGGGTATAAAAAGCGTGTTAGACAACTCACTTTAACACTTAAGTACAAAGACAACAAGATAGATTTCAACCGTTTTAACACATAAACACTTAGCACACACCTCAATTCATCGAATTCATGTCACAAAATTTTTTTGGAACGCTATAAACTGTTTTTTTAAACACTTTAAAAATGCAATTTATAAGTCGAAGCACGTGGCACGTAGTCACAAGCACGTGGCTTGCATCTTAAACATCTGATTTAACAGCTGTTATCTTAACAAAAGCGCACTCTATCGTAATTCTTGAAACGTTACAATTCAGATTGGTCTTCTGTTAATGTATCCTAAAACAACTTTTTTGGTTTTAACGACTTTTCAAAATTGGGTTTTGGCCAACAAATGTTGCCCTCTCTTACTTTGTCTCTCTCCCGATAAGATGATAAATCTATAAGAATCACAACGCCTGTTGCACACCCTTGAAATTCAAATAACATAATTTTTATTTTTGTAATAAATATTTTAGTCGATACTTATTAATTATAATATTTTATGGATATACGTTTTAAAATAATATACCTTATGATTGTTTCATTTATTAGGTAAATTTAAATAATGTAATTATTTTGCATAGTCAGAGATGTTTTTACACAGATAAAAAAATATCCTGAATAAATCAAGAATATTTTGATTGAATATAGAACGCGTTTTCTTGAAATTTTTAATCACGTTTCGGGATTAAAAGGTTAAATTAATCCCGATTCGGGATTAAAATGCCACAATAATCTGAAACGTTCTTTAAGCTTAAAAATTCTTAAAAAGTCAATTTTTGCTGAGAGCGAGAGCAATCTCTCTCTCGTTTGATCTCTCTCGCATGGTATTCCTATATAAGGTAGTCATCGGAATTCTTGGGAACTCAAAGCATTTGGAGAGCCATGCGAAAGAAAGAGAGAGCAAGTTCAATACTGCGCAGTTATCTTAAATAGTCTACCTTATGTTCTTCAGTTAAATGTACCATGCCATTTTAGGTGCGTACATTTTGGCAATTGAGTCAAGAACGTCGAGAGACCAACACGGAAAAGTTTTAAAAGTAATCATGAACGTGAAAGTGAAAATGTGTGAAACTCCGGATAGGTTGCTAAACCTGCTGAAAGAGTTTCAACTTGAAAAAGTGCGCGACTATCTAATCGGTAAGTAGTACTTACTATATAATATATATATGTATATGTATATGTATATGTATATGTATATGTATATGTATATGCATATGTATATATATATGTATATACTATATATGTATTAAGCTGAGTTGTGTATGTGAATATGTACATATGTGCAAGTGTGGCCGGCAGACAGAGAGCAATTGCATAAAATAAATTACCTAGAATATTTGCGTGTTATCTATGTACATATACATACATACATACATATGAATGTACATATGTATATATTTAACATAAAGTGAAGTTCAAAAGTGCTGTGCAAAAATATGTTTATGGTTGTAGTTTTTCCTTGTATGTATGTACATACATAAATACATACGAAGAACGAAGATGCAGACGAAAAAAGTACAGTACTGTATTTCTATACGCAAGTGCGTTGCCATATGCCACATACAATGTACATATAAATGTGACTATGTACATACAGACATGTATATATATGCAGAAATTACAGTTATATACAGCTTTTTGTCTTCAGCTTTGCCTTTACATTCATCTCAGCCTTATGCGATAAATTTGCCTATACAGTTATTACTTTAATTTATTTAGGTTTCAATAAGTTTCTCAAATTGGTTTTTATTTTCAGATTGAAATTGACATTCAAATGCTCTATCCTGGCAAAGGTCATTTGCTTTTGTCGAAGTGGGAAGAATTCAAAGTCAAAATTTTGACTCATTACTCAACCCACCTTCGTAACGACTTTTGTAAACAACAACTGGCAGTAGCAAAGTCGTCTACAAATAAAGGTAATTATTATTATTATTATACCCGTTACTCGTAGAGTAAAAGGGTATATTGTATTCGTGCAAAAGTATGTAACAGCTAGAAGGAAGCGTTTCCGACCCTATAAAGTATATATATTCTTGATCAGGGTCACTAGCCGAGTCGATATAGCCATGTCCGTCTGTCCGTCCGTATGAACGCTGAGATCTCGGAAACTATAAAAGCTAGAAGATTGGCATTTTGCCCACAATCGCTTATATACGATTTTAAAAATTTAAATATTTCGGAAAAGTAAAAATGCAGTTTTGTTGTGTTTATCAATACCTATCGAAATGTAGAAGAAATTTTTCAAATCGGACCATTCGTTAAAAAGTTATGCGTGATCAAAGTTTCTATCTCCATCTCCCTCGCACTCCCTTAACCTGAGTAACGGGTATCTGATAGTCGGGGCACCCGACTATAGCGTTCTCTCTTGTTAATAAATATATTTGTTAAAACAAGTTATTTCTACATTACAGATCTCCAAGACTTCCTTGTATCGATATTATTAAATGGTGTTTTGCCTTGTGGTTCGCGCTTTAAAAATAGCGAAAACTGCAAAACTACAAAAAAAACGGATGATTGCGGATTCCCAGGAGTCTTTCGTACTTCAAATACGTACTTCTTTCGTACCCTGAACAATATACGCCCTAAGATAGACGAACTAGTGAATAAGTTCTATTTAAAAAAGAATCCTTGCAGCCATTTCTTATAATAGAAGGCAATACTTATGATGTAAAGGCATTTTTTGTTTTTTGTGACCAAAATTTGCTTAAGTTTGATTCGTTTATACAAAGCCTTGATGTGTGCTTTAAAATTTTTCAGCTACTTAACTTAGAATACCCAAAAGCTTGTGAACAAATATGGTTGTTTATTATTATTAAACAAAGAAAAAACATATGTAAGAGTTAAAAGTCTTTAAATATATTTAGTATTCTTATTCACATTGTACTTTAAGTAATAAATAATTATATATAAGCCTATAACTAAACTTAAAAATAAAACCATTTCAAAATAAAATGTGTATACCAAAAGTTAACAATTTTAAGACTTTTTGGGATAAAATCAAGAATTTGAGGATTAAACAATTTAAGAATAGTTGGGATAAAATCAAGAATTTTCGAGATTAAACATTTTAAGAGTAGTCGGGATTAAAAGAAGAATTTTCGGGATTAAATATTTTAAGAGTAGTCGTGATTGTATCAAGAATTTTCGGGATTACAAATTTTGAGATAGTTGGGATTGAAAAATTTAAGTACGTTCGTACCATAAATAAGAAAATCCCTGATTAACCTGAGAATGATACCGTTTCAGATTGTTTTTGCCAACTTTATCCCGTTTTTTTTTTATCTGTGTATATACACTGCTTTGACATAAAGCGAAACTTGTAAAGACAAAGTGGGCAAAGGAAAGAACAATAGGATTAACGGTGCCCTAATTCTTTAAGCCTAGTATTCAGATCGACAAAGAGTTCCCTTGCGTAAAAACTTTAATCTGGGTGACTGCATTTTCGTAAGTTCATCAGAATTAAGCGTGCTACGGTGGTACTGTCAATCAGCTGGGTTTGTTGACTAGCAGTTAAAATTCAAAAATCGTATTAGCGGGAAATAACCTTTAAAAGATATTATCAACTACGTTGACAAGACAAGACTACCGCTGTACAAAGAAATTAAAAAACAATACAATTTATTTTTTTGTTTTTTTTTTAATTTACTGATAATTATTTGCTAATTTTAAGTTCATATGTTACGGAACTGCATTTCGTTCTGGGACGGCGCCTCCGTCTTCGGATTTACGCGGTCAAAGCAGAAGATTACCTTCCCTTGGCAAAGGCTACAGGCGCCGCGAAAAATATGTTCCACCAGTCACGTATTGGTGGAGCTCGCAGTGAACGAGGCGCACAAAAAAGGGCACACACTATGTATGTGTCGGGTCACCTAATCCTGAGGAGCTCCTGGGGAAAAGAAGGGACAGGCCAAACGGTAAGTAGTATGCGCTGTAAACAATCCCGCCGAAAACTAATAATAGTGACCCTTATTTACAGGCAACAACGAGGACAAATTGAGGTTTTCGGGTCTAAGTCCGGATAAATTTACAGGTCAACAGGTAAGTATATAAATTTAGTAATGTGCACATTTAATTTAACATTCATTATTTTCAGCCACTTCTAGGCTGGGCCCCGGGCGCGATGTCCCCCGGCCGAAGCGTACTCCAACGCCATACCCAGAGCGAACCGCGCTAGTTTAAATAGCTAGATAGCCAAGCGCATCAGCAGAAGGGGGCGCCACTTCAGTAGGGGTTGCCACCCTCCAACTTTATCAATAGCCCTACCAAAAACGAATACCTCCTTCTTAAAGCCTAGTATCCAGATCGACGGAAACCGTACGCCAGTCATGAGAGAGAGCGAGAGGCAAACAGCTGGCGTTCACTTTTCGTCGGCCCTTTTTTTCACCTCGCTCCTCAGATCGACGAAAAAAATACCAGAAAATTGCATAGCGTTGCCAGTCTGCGGAAATGAACTTTGGGTGAACCCTAGCGAAAAGATTAAAAAATTTAATCTTTTGGCGTGCGCTTCTCACTGAACATTATAAGAAATGGAGGGAAAAACTCACAAAAGTCGATTGCAGGTGTTTACATGTGAGGACAAAATAACATTAATACTCTCTGGGGTGCCTCTTGTCAGAGCAAAATGTTTATTAGGTCCAGAACGTACGAAAAAAACAGAATAAAAGTGCAGCTATGAACTTTAAATTAGCAAATAATTATCAGTAAATTAAAAAAAAAACAACTGTTAAATTTAAATTGTATTGTTTTTCAATTTCTTTGTACAGCGGCAGACTTGTCTTGCCAAGGTATTTGATAATTTCTTTTAAAGGCTCCTTCCCGCAAATACGATATTTGAGTTTTAACTGCTTGTCAACAAACCCAGCTGATTGACAGTACGACCGTAGCACGCTTAAATCTGATGAACTATCAAAATTTTGGTCACACAGGAAAGATTAAAGTTTTTACGCTAGCGTAATCGTTTGTCGATCTGGATACTAGGCTTAATTCTTCCAGCCGATTTCAAATCGAAATGCAACACATAGCTGCACTTTTATTGTGTTTTTTTTACATTTTTGACCTAAGAAGCATTTTGCTCTGACAAGAGGAACCCCAGATAGTATTAATGTTATTTTGTCCTCACATGTAAACTCCTCCAATCGACTTTCGCGTGTTTTCTGATTTTTTCTCTCCATTTAAAATATTCACTGAGAAGCGCGCGCCAAAAGATTAAATATTTTATTCTTTTCGCTAGGGTTCACCCAAAGCTCATTTCAGCAGTCTGGCAACGCTATGCAATTTTTTGGTATTTTTCGTCGATCTGAATACCTAGGTGAAAATCAAGCCTGACGAAAAGTGAACACCAGATGTTTGTCTCTCGCTCTCTCTCATGAGTGGCGGACTGTTTTCGTCGATCTGAGTACTAGGCTTAACCGAAGTTCTTTTCCCGGTTTTTACAGGCACTTGTATTTGAGAGAACGGAGAGACAATTTAAACAGTTAAACTAGCAAAAAACATATTTTATCGCAGAAACTAATATAAAAACAAGAGAGAACGCTATAGTCGGGTGCCCCGAAAGGGGCGAGTACGAGGAAGATGGAGATAGAAACTTTGATCGCGCATAACTTTTTAACGAATGGTCCGATTTGAAAAATTTCTTCTACATTTCGATAGGTATTGATAAACACAATAAAACTGCATTTTTACTTTTCCGAAATATTAAAATTTTTAAAATCGTATATAAGCGATTGTAGGCGTTAAAGGGGGCGTGGCACCATTTTGAAACAAACTTGCGCTGCGTAGGAACTCCTAGAATCTGCATGCAAAATGCCAATCTTCTAGCTTTTATAGTTTCCGAGATCTCAGCGTTCATACGGACAGACAGACGGACAGACAGACGGACAGACAGACGGACAGACGGACATGGCTATATCGACTCGGCTAGTGACCCTGATCAAGAATATATATACTTTATAGGGTCGGAAACGCTTCCTTCTAGCTGTTACATACTTTTGCACGAATACAATATACCCTTTTACTCTACGAGTAACGGGTATAACAAGAAAGGAAAGCTAACTTCGGGCGGAGCCGAAGTTGATATACTCTTGCAGAATATTCTGTAAATTATATTCTCCAAAATTATTCATATGAAGCATTCTTAATACTCAAAAAAATCCCAACTCCCTAATTTTACAAACACCAAAGTTATGACATTTCCGATCAATCAGTTATATGGCATAGGATATAGTCGACCGATCCCGGCTGGGACTAGTTTGCGAAGGGACTAGTTTGCGTAGAAACAGACAGATGGACTGACGGACATGCTTATATCAACTCAGGACGCGATCCTGATCATTAATATATGTAAATTAGAATTATAAGTGAGTTGTAATTTGCGTGGTACGCCTGCTGATGCCGGAGGGTCCCACGCAGCGGTCACACTCCTTAGGAATAGGTTGGTGGTAAGGCAAGGCCGGTTGGCCGGTGATCCTCTAATCCAGAATTTAGGGAGATTACGTTGGAAGGGTGACTGCCCTTCTTACCTGCTGGCCTAGAGACTCAGACAGTATTTTAAGTGATAAGAATTTAACGGCTGATAGCCGGAGTTTTATTTGTATGAGCTTGTACTCTTTATTCAATGAATGCCAAATTTGAAGATAACTTAAAGCTAACAAAAAAGAAACTTATAGTGTTTGCCGGCTATGTACGAGCATAGCCAATTGTCAAGCCAATAGTCAGCAATTTGTCCGGAGCGAGCCTTCCAGCCAGATAACCCCAAGGCGACTTAACAGCCCGGAACGGACTCATCGGCGTATGTTATAAAAGCGTTGGCGGCGTCCGAGGAAGGCGAGTTATGCTGGTCCAAATCGTATCGCTGGGTCGAACGAAGGTGCGTATTTAAATGTATTCCAATTTCCGAATTAAATCTCCCGATTTAATCTCCCAATTTAATCTCCCGGGGCCCTTTGTGTTGGGAGCCCGGTTGCCCTACGGAAAATTATTTATAAATAAAATAATCTATAAAACATAACACTCTAATTTCACTCACTTTTTTCTTTAATTCGGCACAAACACTACTTAAATAATTTCTGCTCCATCTACTGGGACAATATGGCTACGACTATATTAAAATCTGCCTATCATTCCTATATCGCCATATTCCCTTTGCCTCTCTCGAAATTGGGTCATTGAACATATCAAGGCCATCCTAGCCATACCCAGAGCGAACCGCGCTAGTTTAAATAGCTAGATAGCCAAGCGCATCAGCAGAAGGGGGCGCCACTTCAGTAGGGGTTGCCACCCTCCAACTTTATCAATAGCCCTACCAAAAACGAATACCTCCTTCTTAAAGCCTAGTATCCAGATCGACGGAAACCGTACGCCAGTCATGAGAGAGAGCGAGAGGCAAACAGCTGGCGTTCACTTTTCGTCAAGGGTTTTTCACCTAGGTCCTCAGATCGACGAAAAAAATACCAGAAAATTGAATTGCGTTGCCAGTCTGCGGAAATGAACTTTGGGTGAACCCTAGCGAAAAGATTAAAAAATTTAATCTTTTGGCGTGCGCTTCTCACTGAACATTATAAGAAATGGAGGGAAAAACTCACAAAAGTCGATTGCAGGTGTTTACATGTGAGGACAAAATAACATTAATACTCTCTGGGGTGCCTCTTGTCAGAGCAAAATGTTTATTAGGTCCAGAACGTACGAAAAAAACAGAATAAAAGTGCAGCTATGAACTTTAAATTAGCAAATAATTATCAGTAAATTAAAAAAAAAAAAACTGTTAAATTTAAATTGTATTGTTTTTCAATTTCTTTGTACAGCGGCAGACTTGTCTTGCCAAGGTATTTGATAATTTCTTTTAAAGGCTCCTTCCCGCAAATACGATATTTGAGTTTTAACTGCTTGTCAACAAACCCAGCTGATTGACAGTACGACCGTAGCACGCTTAAATCTGATGAA